GCAGTAGGCCAGGGAGTCGCCGTCCTGGCCCCATGCAACCGCGTGCGCGGGGCCGTCGGCATGCGCCAGGGTGGAGCGCAGCATGCCGGTCCTTGACCAGACTTTGACCTGCCCGTCCTCGCCCGCGGTCGCGAGCGCACTGCCTGGGGTGCGGGGGTGCAGGGGTTTGGGGGCAAGGTCATGTGCGAAAGAGACGTGCAGTCGGCATTGTGATGGCCGCCGCAGAGATGGGCTGCTGCTGCTGCTGCTGCTGTGGCTGCTGTGGCTGCTGCGGTTGCTGCTGCTGCTGCTGCTGCTGCTGCTGCTGCTGCTGCTGCTGCTGCTGCTGCTGCTGCTGCTGCTGCTGCTGCTGCTGCTGCCGCCGCCTTACCATCATGGCTCCAGCGCAGGCTGAGTACAGCACCCTGGTGCGCCTCCACGCTCTTCTCCACCTTGCCCGTCCGCGACACAAACTTGTATGTTCCTTTGAGCAGGCGCGGCGGGGCGACAGTCAGACAAGGCCTCTGCGGCCGGCAACCGCCTGCGGGCGTGAACATGCGGGCAACAAGGCACAGCGCTGCCCATGAAGCCCCTGGGATGTTGGCGCGCCGCAGCTGGCCAAGAGGTCGCCGCGGCGCAGGTGGTCCCCCTGCCCACCATCAGTGCAGGCGGCAGCGAAGATGTCGGTGCCGGCGCTCTGCTGCTTCCTGCAGCCCGCAGGGAACCACTGCAGATCTGTGAAAGCTGACGATTCTATCACACAGACCTGTAAGCATGCAGAGGGGGTGCCTCAACATGTTTGCCGCTGGTCGGCGCGTGCACTTGCTTAGGCAGTGCATTCGCAACTGGCGCACGGTAGCATCGCGAGCAACGCAGCGACATGGACGATACGTGGCATCGCGAAAAGTCGCATGGCACACCTTTCCCTCTAGATCGCCTCTTGAGCTCCATTTGCACACGGTATGATCGTCGCTGCAGCTGAACAGCTCGCTGTACGCGTTCCAGCCCACCGCGGCAGCGATCTCCGAGTGGGCTTGCACGCTCGGCTGTGATATCTTGAGCCTCATGATCCTAATAAACGTGTCTCTGTGCCTTTCCGGTGTTATTCATATGGGCACGCGTTGTGATCTCGGTCAAACGCTGCGCGGGACAAGCTCACATGCTAGATGACATAGGTACAAAGATAGATACATGACAGCAGCGCGAGATTTTCAGCGGCGTGACAGCGGCGTGAGAACGGCGCCTACCTTTTCACTAAAAATTGGACATTCCACTTGGATGCAGTACGTTTCATATCACCCTCCGTTACACAACGTTGCACCACAGCTGCGGGCACCGCAATTACATGTACGACGTTCCAACCCCCTCCATGCCCCTGCCGCCCCCAGTAACATCATAACTCAGCCGCCGACCAAAATGCGCAGGGGACTCAGGTATTACACCATCCTGTGATTGTCCGCCAACCGGGCGAGTGTCATGATGCCAGGCGACTTGGATGAAGCCAACCGGCATTTGTGTGGGTTTAGAAATGGAACTAGGACAGGGCACAGGCAGCAGCAAAAGTGCAAACACCCACATCATCTTGGGTTTAGATGCCCTGCTTGGGGTTGCTGCAGCGGCGTGCCAAGGCACGCCATCAGATAAGAGGCATCTGAATGCAAGCGTTGCCGACTGCAGTGCGCGCGTACGACAGGCCAGTGAAAGCCGCTGCTGACATACGCCATGTCACCCCCCGCAGAAGGCAGGATGTGTCAAAGAGTGCGGCTCGCAGCCCAGGCAGCGCCACGCCCGCATTATTGGGCCTGCGTCACGGCCTGTCCACTTGCGATGGGAAAGCAAGCTCAAGGGAAACAGCAGTTATGTACGCGTGGTCTAGACTAGGAGCCCAGAACGGACAGGCGCATACACAGGGCACGCGCCACGGCCCGCGGGACCCAGCTTTTTCCAAAGGCTGCGAGGTGGCCCCTGCCAGGGCCCCTTATCCAGCGGCTGTTGGCGAGCAAAGAGGGTGGAGTTGAACAAACATGGGGGCACGTACAAAGAGGAAAAGTGGTGACCACGGTCGCACGCATTGCTGCAGCGCCAGGGCGACCAAAGAGGGTGCAGAGCCGGCAGCACAGCTGAGGAGAAATGGTCCAGGCGAGCCGCCAGCTACCAGCGACACGCATTCATGCGCTCTGCCACCTGCGTCCGCACTCTCACATCCATGCAGCTACAGCTGCAATGCTGCCAACAGCTTTGACTACCATGCGCAAAGCTGGTGACCACTTGCACTGCCAGAAAGCATCGCGATTCCACCCACAGCAACAGCAGGCCCTTCACCGGGCACCACCACCCACGGTGGCAGCCCCAGAATTGTCGAACGGCTCGAGGTTGCACGCGCCAAACGGAGACGAGCTGGCCTGCCGGTCCACAGTCAGCCCCAGTGCCTCAGCTGCGTCCCGGTCCGGCGAGGTCGCGCGACACGAGGGCGTCGCGCCCGCCGCCGCCGCCGCAAACGGCCCTGCGTCGCCGCCGCACGGCTGCTGCAGCTCCGGCGGCTGGGTTGCTACGGGCGCGTGCGCGGTGCCTGCGCCGCCCACGCCGCCGCCCGAGCGCTCAGTGGCGGCAGATGGGCCGGCAGGGTCCACGGGAGCCCTCGACGCTGCTTTGGCAGCGGGCGCAATGAGGCTCACCTCCTGAACCAAGCCAGGCTGCTGCTGATGCCGCTGCTCCTGGTGCGCCACTGGGGGCGCCGCCACGGAAGCCTCACCTACAATGCGCTGCGGGGTCGGCCGGCGCCCGCCCGTGATCGCCGCCTCTGCCGCGGCCGCTGCGGCGGCCAGCCGGCCCCCAGCCGGCCGCCGCGGTGCCTCGTCGTCCTCGTCGTCGCCACCGCCGCGCGCCCCGCCTGCGCTGCGGGACAGGTCAATCACCATCACCGTGATGTTGTCGCGGCTGCCGCGGTCGACGGCTGCCTTGGTCAGAATGGTCGCCGCCACGCGCGCCGCCGCCTTTGGCGACGCCCCCTTGTCCCGCGCTCGCCGGATGCAGCGCATCGCCAGGTCAGCGGCCTCCTGGTTGGGCATGACGTCCCACAGGCCGTCGCTGGCGAGCAGCAGGATCTCGTCCTTGGAGTGGCGCTTGAAGACAGTGATCTGAAGACAGCACCATCATGGAAGCAGGGGTGGGTGTGGTTTAAACATTGCCAAGCAAGACCATCACATCAAAAAGCCGATGTGTAACAAGACCAGAACAGACACGGCCCCTCCCTGCACTGTGCAGGATGCCCAGCAGTTGCCCTAGGCTGGGTCAAGATGCGCCGTCACCGCGCGCACCTCTGGCTCCGGGATGACGTAGGGCCTCAGGCAGTGGTCCCCAATGGCGCGGCTCATGGCCAGCACGCCCATCACGCGGTGGCCGTTCCAGTAAAGCACCTGCCCGCCCGCCTTCTCAACGCGTTCCTGCAAGGTGCAAAGCAGGAGGGCACGCGCACACGCAGATAAGCGCAGGTCCCTGCTGCTGCCCGCCCCCGCCCCCAGCCCCGCACCGCGCGCGCGGGCACCAACCCCAGGCGGCCCTTCCGGCTGCGCCAGCCACTCTCCATACGCCCAAGCCCGCGGGGAGAAGTCAGCCGCAACATTGACACATCGCAGCCCTTGGTATCAGGGGATACCCACCGCCTCGTCCTCGCGCTCCGGCTTGTGGTCATCCGTGACCTGCACCGCCTGCCCGCCGCGGCACAGCACCGCGCGCGAGTCGCCGCAGTTGGCGATCCAGACGCGGTGCGTGCCGACCAGCGCGCACACGGCCGTGCTGCCGACGAGGCCCGCGGTGCCGTCGGCGGCAAACTCCGCGTCCGTTTTGAGGAAGGCCTCGCGCAGCGCCTCCTCCAGCAGCACGCACATGCTGGTGCTGCCACCCTCCTCACTGCCATCCGCGCTCACGTCCTCGTCGCCGCCGCCGCTCGCGTCGGCGCCTGCGGCGCCGCCCTCCGCGCCGCCCTCGCCGTCGGCCTCGCCGTCAGCGTCGCGGTCGGCGGCGCTGCTCTCGCGACTGAGGGCGCGCAAGGCGGCCTCGTCCTCGGGCGACACCTCGGGCGCGGACGACACCGGCACCAGTTTGCCTACGCGGGCCTCTGCGGCGGCGGCGGCCGCAGCAGCGGCCGCGATCAAGCAGTCGTCCGCGCCTCCCAGAAGGGGCGAGGAGCCATCAGGACGGCACACCGGCACGAACTGAACCTGGAGGGGTTGCAGGTGGCAGCATCGCATGCAACCCTTCAATGTGCAGCGCTTGCAGCGTAAACGAGAGTGTGCATGCATCCAAAGCATCCCTTGTCGTGTGCATGCATGCAAAGCATCCGGTATTGCAGCTGCTTCAATGTGACCCCCCAAAGTCTGGCTGCGCTTGGAACTTGAGCAATCCTGAAAGCGGGCTTCCTATAACCAAGCCCTCCGCATGCTTCCTGTCAAGCACAGCCGCAGCGCACCTCGGGCACGACTGCGCCGCGCCACGCCACAGCGTCTCGCGCCTCGGGGCGCCCCCCCGCATCGGCGCCGTCCGCCGGCGCGTGGCCCAGGACATCGGTCGCCATGTCCCTCAGGCACGCGCTGAGGTGGTGGTGCAGCCGCGCGGCGCAGTGCTGCGACGCCTGGATGCCGCCGTGGCCGTCGTACACGCCAAAAAAGTGCAGCTTCTCCAGGGGCGCCGCCGCGGCCTCGACCGGCGAGCTGAAGGTGCCGCCGCTGCTGGCGAGCGCGGCGAGGAGGTCGTGGGGGGCGACGTGGGCCGCGGCGCCGTCCGCGGCGGCGGCCGCCTGCGCCCCTTCGGGGCATGCGGGGGCCCCGTTGGCGGCGAGCTTCACGGCGATTCGCTGCGGCAGCTTGTCGGGGGCGCCGTCGCGCGTCATCGGCCGCATGGGCAGCTCGCAGATGTTCGGGCACAGCGCATACGTGTCCTCCATAATGGGGCGCTTGCCGCAGGTCGCCTTGACGGCATATGGCGGGCAAGTGCACGCGTCCTCCCCGAGCGCCGCCCCGCCGGGCGCCGCGTCGTCGCCGCCGAGCGCGCCCGACGCCGCGCAAGCCAGCGCCGCGGCCGCAGACGCGCCACCTTCAGCCGCTGGGCCGGCGCCATCGGCGGCCGCGGCCTCCGCCTCGGCCTTGGCGGCAGCGGCCGACGCGTTGCGGCGGCGCGCCTCGCGCGGCCCCTCCTCCCCCGCTTCCGGCGGCAGCTCGCCGGCCTGCGCTGCCGCCCTGGCGGCCGCTTTGACCCGCTCGCCGGGCGTTGCCTCGGGCAGCGCCGCGAGCGGCAACATGAGCGTTTCCTGCTCTGGCAGAGGGACGGGGTTCTCCGCGCTGCCGCCGACGCCGCTGCTCGCGCTCGACGCCACAGCGTCGAGCAGCCGCTGGCTGTTGCGCTGCAGCGCCTGCGCGTACTCAGCAGACATCGGCGTCCGGGGCGTGCCTGAAGAGTGCAGCGAGCCCGACTGCGACGCGCTGCCACGGCGGGCGCCCGGACCGCCGCTGCCCATGCTGGCGCCGACCATGCCCACGCCCATGCCGGCGCTGTCGGGGCGCGCAGGCAGGAGCGATGACGGCGGCAGGCACGAGCCCTCCGGGCATGATGGCAGCGAGCCCTGTTCGCTGCGCTGCCGCAGGACCTCGGCGAGGCCTCCGCTGCCAGACAAGCGGCCCTCCAGGACCAACCGGCAACCAACAGGGTCTGAAGAGGGGGATGGGGCGGGCCGTGCGGCGTCAGCGCGCAGTGTGTGACGTCCCGCGGCGCTCCGCATATGTGCAGCCTTGCAAGGCCCTGGGCCGCTTACCAATGCTCCAAGATCAACTCTTGACACGCGATGCAATCATGCAAGGGCCCAGAGCACGACCTGTCAAGGAGTCGGGGCCCACAACTTCTTCTGCATCCGCCTGGCCTGCACCCACCCAGCGTCTGGGTCAAATTGCGCTCCAAACGCCTAACGTCTGTGCTGGCCATCCAAAGCCAGCTCCCGGGGCTTCACGCGCCCAAACTGCGCTGGGTTGTGTATGTGTGCCAACCCGTTCTCGGGGCCGCTGGGTCGGTCCTACTAAAAACGAATGCAGAAACTAGCAACCCAAAACATCAGACGTATACGTCCTAGTAAGGGCGTCGAGAGCAGCTGGGGCGGAGCTGCACACGGCTTGCAGAGGCGTGCGACCTGTATAGCATGAACATGAAAAAGCAAACGTGTTATCGGCTGAATTGTATTGTGAAGTGGTTATTGCGACTGGCCTGAGCTTGGAGTGCTATGAAATGCGACGCATGTGCACCGCAGCACTGGGAAGCTGGGCGACGACACGGCGAGGAACCGCCCGAGTCCGAGCCGCCGCCCGTTGCCGTGCCGTCTGGATAGATATGTGAGCTGCGCTCAAAGCACAAACGCGGTGGTGGTGAACCAAGTGTAAAGTTTTTGCAGTGGTTTGTGTTCATCATCAGCGGTCGTGTGCCCGGATTGCACCGCGTCACGACGGCGCTGAGCTGTGGCCACCTATGCAGAGGTGCATGTGGGGCTGATCAGGCGTGCCACGGATGAGCACTCTCACCCGCGCACAGCTGAGGGGAGCCGCACCCCTTGCTAACCCTCCCCCCCTCGTGGTCGGCGGCCGGCTGCATGGCAGCTGCGCCTGGAGGCCCCGAGGCAGCGGGACCCCAGGTAGCCCGAGGCATTGGAGGACCCGCTCACATGAGCTGCGTGAGGCCAGCTGTATCGAGGATGGAAATCCCACCCCCAAACAACTGTTCTGGGGAATTCTGTTAATGAGCTAGCCCTAGGCCCAAGCACCATCCAGACATCTGGCCACATGCCAGCAACTACATGACGCGAAGTCGGAACACGGCTGCATTCATGCAAAAGGGTACAGCAATCGTGCAAGGCGTGCACGCATCGACAAAAGTGCTGGATTGCACGACAGCAGCCTTGCAGCCCAGCCGCCCAATATCCCCACGCGTGGTCGCGGGCCCTTTAGCTCCTCGTGAGGTGTAGTGGCTGAGTCGCGGTCACGCGCGCTTGCGTTGCGGCGGTCATGGCAGGAGGCGCGGCGCGTCAGCCAGAGCCTGGCAGCAGGGGCTTGAGGCCCTGTGCTATCCTCTCGCGGTTCACGATGCAGGCCTTCTTCATCTGGGGGTTAAGGCACCTGAGGGTGGCGGCAGGGCGCAAGGGGGGGAGTGAGGGGCGTCGCGTGGCAGCTGGGACACGCTGAGCGAGCAAAACGGGCAGGGCTGCGGTCCGCGCCGCTACAAAACTTGCGCATTACGGCAGGCAGCGGCCAGGTGCCAGTGAGCGGTGCAGCATGTGAATTCAGGGAACATCCTCTCGGCGCAAAACACATCCGCCATCTAATACGGGCACAAGGAAAGTGCAGTGCGATCAACGGCTTGGAAACACATGCCGGCACCTCCCCACCCTCGATCCCGTAAGCCATGGCGAACTCCAGCATGGACCCACTCACATCTTGCAGTTGCCGCACTTCGGCGTCGCCCCGCCGGCCCACACTCGCCGCACGCCGCCAGGCGACCGCTTCCGCCACACGCCCCCCTCGTCCTCTTCCTCCGATTCGCCTTGCGGCCGGCCACGCTCCTCTGTCTTTGGTGGTACCCCTGGGGACACAGCTGCACGCACCCTCGTGGGCGCAGCCGCGGGAGTGACCCCCGCGGCCACCGCCACGCCCCCGCCCTCACGCGCCGCGGCGTCGCACAAGCGCCGCAGCCGGAGCGCCTTCGGTGCGCCCGGCGGGCCGCCGCGGAGCTGGCGCAGCGAGAGGCAGAGCCAGCGCGCCGCCAGGACCTTGGCGGCCGGCGCTGGCGCCAGCTGGGCCGCCTGCGTCGGCGGCGGCGTGCCCTCTGTGGTGCCTGCGCGCTGCACCGTTCCGGCCCGGGCTGGCGCCGCGTCGCGCAGTGGCAACGGCGTGGCAAGGAGGGCTGTTGCCTGCTGCTGCTGCTGCTGCTGCTGCTGCTGCTGCTGCTGCTGCTGCTGCTGCTGCTGCTGCTGCTGCTGCTGCTGCTGCTCATCCTCCCCGTCCTGCTCCGACTCCACGCCCGTCCCGTCGCTGGCGCTCGTGCTGCTGCTCTGGTTGGCGGCGCGCCTCGCGGCCCGCCGGGAGCGGCGCGCGCGTCGCGCGTCCTGCCGGCACAGCCGCTGCTGGGGCGCGTGGAACCCCGCCGCCGACCCCGCGCGCTGCAGCAGCTCGGTTGCCGCCAACGGGTCGGCTGCGGCGGCGCGCGCGAGCAGGCTGGCCGCGCGGGGCGCGGGGGCATCATCCAGGGCGCGCCACAGCGCGTCCCCCCTGCTGACTCTCGCCAGCCCGGCCGGCGCCTCCGCCGCGCTCGCCGCGCCGCGCGCGGCCCGTGGCGCCGGCCCCGGCTGCGCCTGCTGCCGCGGCTCCTGCGCCCCCTGCCCCTGCCGCCGCGCCTCGTCCGCTGCAGCGGCGGACGCCGCGCGCTTTCGCGGGCCCCATACCAGGTCTTCCAAGTTTTGGGTCAGTCGCCTGTTGCCGCGCCGGAGGGTCCTGCCAACGGTCCTGGGCCGCGCCCCCGCCAGTCGCAGGACGCGGAGGGTCTGGAGCATCTCGCGGCGCCGCGCCGCGCGATTGGCGCTGGGGCGACCGGGGGCGCCCTGCTTTTCTGGAAGCTGCTGCTGCTCCTGCTGCTGCTGCTGCTGCTCCTGCTCCTGCTGCTGGTGGTGTTTTTTTCGCTGCCTTTCCTGTCGATGCTGCTGCTGCTGCTGCTGCTGCTGCTGCTGCTGCTGCTGCTGCTGCTGCTGTTGCTGCGGCCGCTGCGCCGAAGGCAGCTCTGATGACTGTGTGTTCACACCCGAGTCCGCCCGCCCTCGCCCTCCCAGCCTCGTGCCCGCGGACGCGTCTTCGCCCCCCTCTGCGCCGCGGCCGCCGCCGCCGCTGCCGCCGCCGCCGCCGCCGCCCCGGCCCCGCTCTAGCTCCGCGAGCGCGCGCCGCGCACGCTCCGCCGCCGCTGCTACCGCCCCGTACCCCGGCAGGCGCCCGCCCATCTGGGCACGCCGCGCGGCGGCTGGCTCTACAGCGTCCAGCGCGCGCGAGACGCGGCACTGCAGCTGCACGATGGCGCGCTCCAGGGGGCGCAGATACACATCATACGCCGCCTCCACCAGGGGCGCGAGCCTCGCGTCATCCTGCAGGTCCTCTGACACCTCCTCCCAGCCGCCCGAGTGGGACACCATGTCTGGGCCGCCCCTGCCCATGACCTGAGCCAAATGATGCCGCGGAGAGGTGTGGTGACGTGGCGGGTGTGGGGGGGACGCCGGCATGCAGGCAGGGGGGCGGCCGCGGCAAGCGGGCGCGGTGGGCAGCGGCGTCGTGGACGCCGCTGCGGCGCACCTCGAGCCACAGCTGCTTGAGCTCCAGCGGGGGCGCTGATCTGGAGAGCCTCGGGACGTGTACCTTGAAACCGAGGAACGCGCCCAGCTTCTCGCGCCACTGCCGCTCCTCGGCGCCGACGGGCGGCGGCGGGGGCGCGGCGGGGGAG